TTCGTGTGTGTGTGTGTGTGTGTGTGTGTGTGTGTGTGAGTGTGTGTGTATATATATATATATATGGAGCCTAACTGCCACCGTATGTTATTTGCAGCTACCCATTCAAATTTGGCCTTACCTACAACCCTGCAAAAAAAAAAAAACCTATAAAAGCTCTTTGACTTGCCTAACTAATGCTTCTAAGATGGTACTGACATCAACTCCACCCCTGAGAATCCAGGATGCAAAAACCTCATACAGTTACTGCACCATATGCACCACTAAATCAATCCCAGAACCTTTCACAACATAGTATTCACTTTATCACCTAATAGTGGCAATTTTTATCCTTATCAACAGGTCATAACTCTGTCTTTTATAAGATTGCAGGGATAGCTTTTTACAATCAACTTGTACTTCTCTTGGCGCACACATAAATCCGTATGCCTGAGCCTACTTCTTGAAAATATGCTCTTAAACTTCCCTGGACATGGTGTCTAATGCAGTTTACTCTTTTCCTGAAATTTAGAGAGCAGACAGTTAACTGTCCCTCATTAAACACTGTTTCTAATATTTCAGAGTTACTTCAACTATCCATGTATGATAGACCTTGTCTTGCATTTCTTGTCCCTTCCATTTTTAAATATAAGGTACCAGTGTTCTTTTTGGGTCAATATTTGTCTGTGAACATCTCTGTCAAAATGAAATAATCTGTCATCTTCTATTTGAATTTCATTATCTGGCTTCCCAGTGGGGGCTCTTAAACTGTTTTGGATACCTAGACCAGTATACCAGAAGGGGATATAAAAGAAAGAAATTAGACTGTAGCAGCATCTTATTAACCTTCAACCAAAGCAGATCCTAAATTGCCTTCTGATCCAATATCTAACCAGCCAGGCAAACTTTTCCCAACATCCTTTGTTATGTCACCAGAGAGGCTTGAATACTGCCTGAAAGAGTGAGTCGTTCTTAGGTAAACTTGAGGTAAAGCTACTAGAGCAGGTATTTTAAAACTTTATCATATCATGGGCCACATTTTTATAGAGAAATTAT